TCAAGTTACCACATTTGTATTAATTTGTCATGACAGTCCCAGGAAATCAGGGCTTATTACAACAATTACTAATAATGTTGAGCATTTATTAGGCCTGATTATGTGCCAGGCACTCTGCTAAAGAGACATTTATTTTTTTAAACCAGCATTATCTCATTTAAGCCTCATAAGATATGTGCTTTTATTATCCCCATTTTACAGATGAGGAAAGTGAGGTTCAAACAGGAAAAGTAGCTTGCCAAAGGCTGCATGGCTTATAAGCTAGGTTTGGACCCAGTTCTGTCTGACTCCAAAGTCCTCCTTTAAGCACTCAGTGAAGCCTCCTTGCCTGGTTCATCCAGCTGTCCTGGAGACAAGCCCCTCATCTGGTGGCTTCTGGTTGAGTGTCACGTATTCCCCACCACCCACACTGACTCCTTACTTAAAAAGAGGCCCAATTCTTTTAGTGCCCTCTCCCTGAACCCTAACCCTCTCCGGAAGCTCTTTGTTGCCACCTCAAAGTGGGGTGTAAATTACAGCCAGATATCATGCTAACTCAGTGGATCATGGGAACACCGTTTCCTGTTATAAAGAAACATTTCAGGCACACACATAGCTCTTTGTACCTCTTTAACTGCTAGGTCATTGGGGTTTATTCGCAGATGTTGCCAAGATGAATCAGAGATCTGGAGGAACTAGCTGTCCTTGGAGAAGGACAGCTGTCAGGATGGTTTCTTGTTGGTTTCTTTTTGCTGATTTTGAATTCATGCGAAGACTATTTCTATGTCCCAGGAGACATAGTTAGAGAAGTTTATTTTCTTAAGACTTAAAATATATTCTTTGAGCTCGCTATGCTATCAGAATGTCAACACTGGACACTGCTGATGGCATGATTTAGAAAGTAAGTATTTCTTTCCTTTTCTGCTTTTGCCCTATCTTTTGGGAATTAAACAGGTTTTTCCCTCTATCAGCTGATGACCCCAATATCTGTGTGTGTGTATGAGTGGGTATATGTGGTGGTGGTGCTTGGGGGAAGGGGATCTGGATGAAGTGGCCATTTTTATTTTATTGCCTTTTATTTCTTTTTTTTCATACAAAGCTACCCCATTTTACAGGGGGAAACATTGAATCTCGGTGAATCGAAAGAGTTTTCTCCCAGATGATTCCTCCAGACAGACTTCATTACAAACACTGTGCTTATCCTCGCCAAGAAGCCTTCTGTTTAGTGACAATGGGAGCTGTTGTACAATGAGTTTTGAGGTTAATTTTAAAGCAAGTCATGTGACCCTCCTGGTGCTCTGACCCAAATATGAGGCAGAGACTCTAAGCCGTGCACAGAGGAAACTGCAATCTATCAGGAGGCCCCACGAAAGCAGTTTGCTTGATTATGGGAACTTGAGCCTTGGTCTCAACCTCTGCAAGCCTCTATCCTTTGGGATTCCTGTGGTGCCCACTTAGGGCCCTGCCTGGGGAAGAGTGCAGAGGGGACCCCAGTCCAGAGCCAGGCCCAGAGACTGAGCCTGGGTCACTTCTGTACCCAGATACTCAGAGCCATAAAGAAATGCTCGCCTAGCCTCTTCTGTGCTCACCGACAATGTCTTCTTGACGCATTTGAGGGACTGAGGGTGGAAGGGAAGGACAGAGCTGGGGCTGCCCACAGTCTTTAAGCCAACCAGGAGATGAGATGCGTTACTGCAGACAGAGGGCTCTGGTTTCGTAAAATGAAAGCTTACTCTTGATCCCACATTTCTGAACCTTTTTTTTTTTTTTCCTGTTTGAGGTTCTTGTACACAATTACCAGCCCCAGGACCTTCCGTCCTCTTTTGTTTCTCTAAACCCAAGCCTGCTTCCAGGAAAGCATCTGATAAATTCACTTGCATCAAGCAGGATGTTTTTGTTCAGTTGCTAAGTCAAGTCTGACTGTGACCCCATGAACTGCAGCACTCCAGGCTTCCCTGTCTTTCACTATCTCCTGGAGTTTGCTCAAATTCATGTCCATTGATGCCATCCAACCATCTTATCCTCTGTTGCCCCCTTCTCCTCTTGCCCTAAATCGTTCTTCACATCAGGTGGCCAGTATATTGGAGTTTCAGCTTCAGCATCAGTCCTTGCAATGACTATTCAGGGTTGATTTCCTTTAGGATTGACTGGTTTGATCTTCTTGCAGTCCGAGGGACTCTCAAGAGTCTTCTCCACTTTTTTTTCATACAAAGCTACCCCATTTTACAGGGGGAAACATTGAATCTCGGTGAATCGAAAGAGTTTTCTCCCAGATGATTCCTCCAGACAGACTTCATTACAAACACTGTGCTTATCCTCGCCAAGAAGCCTTCTGTTTAGTGACAATGGGAGCTGTTGTACAATGAGTTTTGAGGTTAATTTTAAAGCAAGTCATGTGACCCTCCTGGCGCTCTGACCCAAATATGAGGCAGAGACTCTAAGCCGTGCACAGAGGAAACTGCAGTCTATCAGGAGGCCCCACGAAAGCAGTTTGCTTGATTATGGGAACTTGAGCCTTGGTCTCAACCTCTGCAAGCCTCTATCCTTTGGGATTCCTGTGGTGCCCACTTGGGGCCCTGCCTGGGGAAGAGTGCAGAGGGGACCCCAGTCCAGAGCCAGGCCCAGAGACTGAGCCTGGGTCACTTCTGTACCCAGATACTCAGAGCCATAAAGAAATGCTCGCCTAGCCTCTTCTGTGCTCACCGACAATGTCTTCTTGACGCATTTGAGGGACTGAGGGTGGAAGGGAAGGACAGAGCTGGGGCTGCCCACAGTCTTTAAGCCAACCAGGAGATGAGATGCGTTACTGCAGACAGAGGGCTCTGGTTTCGTAAAATGAAAGCTTACTCTTGATCCCACCTTTCTGAACCTTTTTTTTTTTTTTTCCTGTTTGAGGTTCTTGTACACAATTACCAGCCCCAGGACCTTCCGTCCTCTTTTGTTTCTCTAAACCCAAGCCTGCTTCCAGGAAAGCATCTGATAAATTCACTTGCATCAAGCAGGATGTTTTTGTTCAGTTGCTAAGTCAAGTCTGACTGTGACCCCATGAACTGCAGCACTCCAGGCTTCCCTGTCCTTCACTATCTCCTGGAGTTGGCTCAAATTCATGTCCATTGATGCCATCCAACCATCTTATCCTCTGTTGCCCCCTTCTCCTCTTGCCCTAAATCGTTCTTCACATCAGGTGGCCAGTATATTGGAGTTTCAGCTTCAGCATCAGTCCTTGCAATGACTATTCAGGGTTGATTTCCTTTAGGATTGACTGGTTTGATCTTCTTGCAGTCCGAGGGACTCTCAAGAGTCTTCTCCACTGCCACAATTCAAAAACATCAGTTCTTCAGCCCTCAGCCATCTTTAATGGTCCAAATCTCACATCCGTACATGACTACTGGAAAAACCACAGCTTTGACTATATGGACCTTTGCTGGCAAAGTGATGACTCTGCTTTTAAATACATTGTCTAGGTTTGTCATAGCCTTTCTTCCAATGAACAAGTGTCTTTAAATTTCATGGCTGCAGTCACCATCTCCAGTGATTTTGGAGCCCAAGAAAATAACATCTCCCACTGTTTCCACTTTTCCCTCATCTATTTGCTATGAAATGATGTGAGTAGATGCCATAACCTTAGTTTTTGAATGTTGAGCTTTAAGCCAGTTTTTTCACTCTCCTCTTTCACCCTCATAAAGAAGCTCTTTAGTTTCTCTTTGCTTTCTGCCATAAGAGTGGTATCATCTACGTATCTGAGGTTATTGATATTTCTCCCAGCAATCTTGATTCCAGCTTGTGATTCATCCAGCCAGGCATTGTTGCATGATTTCCTCTGCATATAATTTAAGTAAGCAGGGTGACGATATACAGCCTTGACATACTCCTTCCCCAGTTTTGCACTAGTCAGTTGTTCCATGTAAGGTTCTAACTGTTGCTTCTTGACCTGCATACCGGTTTCTCAAGAGGTAGGTAAGGTGGTCTGGTATTCCCATTTCTAAGAATTTTTCACAGTTTATTGTGATCCACACAGTCAAAGGATTTAGTGTAAACGATGAAGCAGAAGTAGATTTTTTTTTTTTTAATTCCCTTGCTTTTTCCATGATCCAACTGATGTTGGCCATTTGATCTCTGATTCCTCTGCCTTTTCTAAATCCAACTTGTACATCTGTAAGTTTTTGGTTCACATATTGTTGAAACCTCTCTTGAAGGATTTGCAGCATTATCTTGCTAGCATGTGAAATGAACACAATTGTATGGTAGTTTGAGCATTCTTTGGCATTGATTTTCTTTGGGATTGGAATGAAAACTAACCTTTTCCAGTCCTGTGGCCACCGCTGAATTTTCCAAATTTGCTATCATATTGAGTATCTTTTTGGATTTGAAATAGCTTATTTGGAATTCCATCACCTCTACTAGCTTTGTTCATTGTAATGCTTCCTAAGGCAGACTTGCCTTCACCCTTCCAGGATATTTGGCTCTAGGTGAGTGATCATACCATCATGATTATCTAGATCACTAAGACTTTTTTTGTATAGTTCTTCTGTGTATTATTGCCACCCTCAAGCAGAATGAACAGCTGTTTTCTTCTGGAGAACATCTGCATTGGGAAAGACTTCAAGCAAAAGTGATGGGTCTTTGTGCAACTTCAGAGAGAAGTTAGGTGAAGGGACATGCCTGAGGGCAGCCAGGGCTGGGGGAGGAGGGAAGGCAGGCAGGAATGTGGACAGGAAAGCAGGGCAGACGGAGAAAGCAGACAAGTCAAGGGAAGATGGGGAAAGAATAAAGGCAGGAAATTTGAGGGTGCTGGTGTGAAGTGGTGGTGGCTTGACCAGTTTGTGTACCTCTGACCCTGAACCTGAGTGTTGGCTGAGTAGAACTACAAAGCAATCCACTCCTTCTTTGTTGAGATGGCCAAGAATCTCTCAGAAGAGATGTTCAGAACCAGGCTGGCTGAGAACTGATACTGCCAGATGGTACAGCAGCCAAAATATTTACTGTGAGTCCCACGCTGTTTGGGAAGAGGCCGAACTTACATTTCTGCCGCAGACCTTGGTGGGTCCTGCCTCCTCTGCTGCTGGCCTCCGTGACTCACTGGGTGACTCACAGCTTATCTCCGCAGGGATTTATCTCTCTGAACCAGCCTCCCCTCTGGCATTCCAGTGAGAGATGCCCTATGTTGAAAAAGAAGTCCTGACTGGGTAAAACATTGGTTAAGTTCATGAAAATCCAATTTCACACATGACATTAGGAAAATGGAATGCCATAAAAATAACCCTCATCACACCGCTGGGGACGCTGAGACTTATACCAGGTGCTAACTGACAAGTGATGCTGGCTCAAAAGGAACAGCTCAACACACAGTTCTTGGATTAGAATTTCCCCAGGTTATTTCTGGCCTGGAGAAAGACAATTTCATAACACTTCCCACCCACCCACCCACCCCCAAAATCTGGAAAAGTTACAGATGATAACCTTTAACACCAAAAAAAAAACCTGATAACCAATACAAAAAAACAGAGTTCATGAAGAGTCCAGTAAAGAAACCAAACTCTGCAAGTGGAGTAAATCTTTCCTAGATTCAAACAAATGCTATAGTATCAGATGTCAGTTCTCAACTCACAGAATTAAGAGTCCTTAAGCTGTTATCTGTGTCCTGTGTGACTCTCCTATTGAGAAAAAAAATGCCCCCTAGAATTTGCAAAAATGACTGAGACACACCTACAGTGTGTGACAACATGGGAGATGTTCTCAAATCTTTCATGAGGTGAAAGTCACTTTTTACAACTGAAAATGAAAAAGGTGCTACAGAAAGAAACGAAATTGTAAAACTGCATAAAAGCAAAGACTGGCTGAAATTGGTAACTTACTGAGTAAAGACAGTAACAATAACCCACACTAGAACTAACTCCTCCGCAGTGACCCATATACTATCCATGCTGGGATGAGACATGACCGGAGCCCACCACAGTGGAAACCAGCCTCAGCTGCAAGGCTGGAGTTCTGCTCTTTCCGAGGGCTCTGTGCACAGGGTGGTGCCACCTACCAAAGGCAGCCAGGGAGACGGGGAGCCTCTCTCACCAGCCTGCTGCTCACTGAACTGAGCTCTGGACTCCCAACGTGTATCTGTGCATAATTTTATGAAATGTCTAAATGCCATTCACTAGATTTAAAAAAAAAAAAAACTCTGGACCAAGTATATTGTGAACTTAAAAAAGTTATGAGGAGGGTCACCAATTACATTAACAACACTTTCTTTAAAAAATAGAATCACTTTCTTTTGAAATCAACCACAGTGGTGAGACGTGTTTTTCTTTCCAGGTGGCCCGTGATGGCACACAGCTCTACTCGACAAATCCTGCCACCTCAAGTCCCGGGGTGCTGAGCTGCACCAGCACGTGGGGCAGCAGTACCTTCCAACAGTGCGGAGAAGAGCACATGTCCCCACTGGGCGATGAGAGCAGACAGACTCTTGGAGGATGAAGGGATAAGAGACGGTCTTCATATGGAAATATATCTTCTTTAATGAAAAATTAGAGGTATTTTTCTCAGAACTGAAAATTGTGATGTTGAGGCTTATTTGCCGAGGACTGAACTAAAGTCAGTGGATTCTTGCTTTTAATGTGAGAGCATGGAAAGTGTGGATAACACATTCCTGGGGTGAGAATATTTTTCTTTAGTTGGATGTCGCATTGTTAGTCTTTAGTACTGACCTGTTGGGAAAGCATAACTTTTTCACAGCTCGGTACCAAATGCAGAGGCTCAATGAAGCATAAAGCTGGGAAGAACAAGTCTTTCATTTATTAGCAAGCATAGCTGGTTTGGAAAGGGGTTAAAGCCTTAAGTGAACAAATCTAGCTAATGGTGAATGAACTAGGTAGTTAAATTGCATACTTTTGATTTCCTTTGGCTAAAGGTAACCCATACTTCTCTATCCAGAGATATGAGAGGTGTGATTGCTTCAGTGTTAGTTTTCTTCTTCTTATTTTTTTTTCTATTTGTCCCTAGTCAATTTTTAGCAAGCTAGAAAACTATGGATTCTACACAGGGCAGCTCTTTGTGAAAGTGGTTTATTTTGGCCACCGGAGAAAGAGTTGGGATTGAAAAATCAAGTGGCACCTGTCTGTTTCTTCCCCCACAGAAAACACAGTTCCTATAATAAAATAGAGGAAAGAAGATGATGTGAGGAGCTTGGCTCCTAACAGTTAGGATCAGAGCCTTGTACAAGAACTCCCGTGAATTGAGACTTTTCATTCTGTTTTATCAGAGTGCATATATGTCCTATTTCAGGAAAAGTAAAACAGTCATTTACAAGAGAGAGTCAATCTGTATCTTAAGCGTTTTAATAAAAAGTTAAAACAACAACAAAAAAAAAAGAAGTCCTGACTGCATTTCTGGGAGAACGGCCCTGTCTTACTTTCCATGTAATGTGAGGAGTTTGGACTCAAAAATAATCTTGTGAGGTGAACAGAAAAGCAAGCATGCTGTTTATATGTGGGGAAGCTTTGAAGGACCGTCATGTCCCAGGTTTCCAGGGGCCCAGCAGGAACCTGGACCTTGAACTCGGGTCTTTCTAACACAGTAGGGACTGTCAATTCACCTGGAAATTATCTAATGACCCATGCAAGATCACATAGTTTCTTGCTGCCTCTAAAATAAAAATGTTGTTTTTCTATAAAATCACAATTTAAACATCAAAAGAAGTATCCTCAAGGGGAAAGAGGGTTTCTCCCCTTCCCCCCACCTTTTTTTTTTTTGTTGCAAAGCACTCATTTTAGTTAGATAAGTTGAATCTCTGGGTGATAGACTGATTCTGTCAAAAAAAAAATAATGACTTTCTCATTTTACAAATAATGTTTATTGCAGAAACTCTGGAAATTTTAGAAAAACACCAAGGGGAAGATAAAAATCACCTGTAATTTCCCATTCAGGTGTAATTGTTATATACTTGTTATAACAATTAAAACTATAATTGCTATTGACATTTTGCTATCCTTCCTGTCTTTTTTTCAGGCACCTAGAACCATCTTTTAAGAACTGAAAAAAATGTGGTATAAACTGATGAATAATTTGCTTTTTCACTTATCATTTCCGTGACCATTTTTCTCACGATTCAGTTTTTTTCAAAGCACGTTTGATCCACTGCATACTATCCTAAGAATGGATAGTACCTAATTCATTTAACCCATTGGAGGGACTTTTAGATTGTTACTTTTTTTTTTTTTTTAAAAAACTTCGACAATGGGCATCCTTGATCTTATAAAAAATTTAGTGATGTTTTCACCCACTGATTTGTCTGAGTGTTGGTTTGCAAAAAATTTAAAATGGGGGCAGATAGAGAGAGAGGTAATAGGCATTAGCTTGATTTTTGTCGGTTGGAGAGGGAGAGAATTGAGGCCACTGGTTTCAAGTGTCTCCTCTGTAAAGGTCCCCTCCTTGTGATGTGCTCTCAATTCTACTCCTCTAACGTGGCCTTCACACTATTCATCATGTCAGCCTCCTCTGTAGCTGCCACTGCTTTCAGCTGTCATCCTCCACTCCCCCTGGCCCCTGCCTGGTGGGGATGACTCTCATCACAGCCCTCCTGGTCTCTCCGGCTGTTGATGAATGTTTTCTGTGTCCCAACTCAGTGCTTGAAAAGTTATTTCTAAGAGTAGCACGTCCTTGAGGGATCCTTGTCATGGTATCTGAAGTCAGGTGCTCAAAACCCTTTGGTAAATCACTGTACAGTTGGTTTTCCTGTAGGTGCAGCCCATTGCCCTGCCAGAGCCACTCTGGCAAGTGGCGCGAAGCCCAGGGGTAATTAACAAAGGTGACCTCGGGGTTTCCTCTCATTTCCTCGCTGGACCAAGCTAACATCTTCTTCTCATCAGGCACTATTAGTTGGTGAGTTCTAATGACAAGGAGAACAACTGGGTTGATCATTATTTCCAAGTTGTAATTCAAGAAACAGCTGAAGAGAGGTCATAAAATCAAATAAGGCCTAACTGAGCACTTTTTTTTTACCGAGCACCTTTCAAAATTAAAAAAAAAAAAAAGAATCTCTTGGGTTGCAGGCTTCTAAAAATAGTTTCTAGTGCCATCCTTCACCTTCACAATTACTTTTGTCTTCACTTCTAAATCCGAACAGCACAGAGCAGCAGAATTTATCCATTAAGTTCATAAGAGAACAGACAGCTCATTTATTCTTAACAGTGGTGGGATTTGACTGTTTACCATCATATGTTCGATTCTGAAATACATATGGGCCCACTTTGCTGAGATGACATAGATAATCTTATTGATAACCACAATGCCTTTTTTTTTCCTGAACTTTTTTTTTTTTTTTGCATTTGTTTAGCTCAGGGACCTCCCCCTTTATTTACTTTTATTTATTTTAAAATTTTATTTTTTAATTGAAGGATAATTGCTTTACAGAATTTTGTAGTTTTCTGTCAAACATGAACAAGCATCAGCCATAGGTACACCCATGTCCCCTCCCTCCCGAACCTCCCTCTCATCCCCCTCCCCATTCCACCCCTCTAGGTTGTAAGGAGCCCTGTTTGAGTTCCCTGAGTCATACAGCAATTCCCATTGGCTATCTGCTTTACATATGGTATTGTAAGTTTCCATGTTGCTTTCTCCATACATCTCATCCTCTCCCTCCTCCCCTCCCCCCGTGTCCACAGGCTGGTTCTCTATGTCTGTTTCTCCATTGCTGCCCTGAAAATAAATTCATCAGTGCCATCTTTCTAGATTCCATACATATGTGTTAGTGCCTTTTTAAATTTTTTTATTGAAATACAGTTGATTTACAATGTCATGTTAGTTTCAGGTATATAGCATAGTGGTTCAGTTACACATATACATAAATATAGACATTCTTCTTTTACATTCTCTTCCAGGACGGTGTCCTTCTTGTGAAGGACAAGATTACCGCAGGCCCCCACCCCACTCAGAGACGGTGTGAGCGACCTCCATGCTAATCATCTCCTGTCCATTCATTCACAAAGTCATTTATTCAAACATCTGAGACTCTCCTATGTGTCAGGCAAGAGAAAAAGCCCTCAGTCTTCCAGGTGGGAGACAAATAAATACATAACCATGAAACTCTTACAAGGGAAAATAAAGCCAAGTAAGAGACAGGCGTGTGTGAGGAGGGTCTGGGGGAGATATTTTAGATCTGCTACTTAGGGAAGGGGACATCCCTGGTGGCTTAGTGGTAAAGAATCTGCCGCCAATGCACGAGACCTGGGTTTGATCCCTGGNTGGTGATGGACAGGGAGGCCTGGCATGCTGCAGTCCATGGGGTCACAAAGCGACTGAGCAACTAAACTGAACTGAAGGCGTATCTGCTAATCCCAACCTCCTAATTTACCCTCCCCCACCTCTTTTCCTTCCTGATAAACAAGTTTGCTTTCTATGTCTATGTGTCTGTCTCTGTTTTGTAAGTAAGCTCATTTGTATCAGTGTTCCCC